GAGGGCTGGAGCACCTCTCCTATGAGGACAGGCTGAGGGAGTTGGGCTTGTTCAGCCTGGAGAAGAGAAGGCTGCAGGGAGACCTGATTACGGCCTTTCAATACCTAAAGGGGGTCTATAGGAAAGATGGGGAAAATCTTTTTAGTAGGGCCAGCAGTGACAGGACAAGGGGTAATGGTTTTAAACTAAACCAGGGTAGGTTTAGACTAGATATAAGGAAGAAATTCTTTACAATGAGGGTGGTGAAACACTGGAACAGGTTGCCCAGAACGGTGGTGGAGGCCCCATCCCTGGAAACATTCAAGGCCAGGTTGGACGGGGCTCTGAGCAACCTGATCTGGTTAGCGGTGTCCCTGCTCGCTGCAGGGGGGTTGGACTAGATGACCTCTAGGGGTCCCTTCCAACCCAAAACATTCTATGATTCTATGATTTCTGTGAAGTAGGGGTTGCAGGGAAGGAGGAGAATCCCTCTCCCTCTCTTCTTTTCTTTATGACGTAGGAGAACACTTTACATACGTGCATTCCTGTTTTAAGTTCAGTTTGTAAATGGGAAAGCCCCTTTTTTGGGGGGGAGTTCCCATACACCAACAAGGAAACAGAAGAAATAATAGAAAGCACCTGTTACTGGTTTTTTTCATGGGAGCTTTCTGGCATAAAACCTGCAATCCAGGATCAGGGGACCTTTCCGCCTGTGCCCGTACCCCACAGCTCCTTGCTTCCTGAAGCCCTTCCATTCGCAGGAGGTGGAAGCTCTCCCAGCAGCCGGCACCGATTCAGGGTAGTGATGAGCTTGGTCCATGCTTCTCCATGCATTGGTTTCTTGAAAGCAAAACAGGAGCCTCCTCACCCCTCATTGCAGCAGGCACATTTCTAGCACTGCCACAGGCCTGCCCAGCTTTGAACACGGGGTTGTGTGACGTTTTAGTAACAGCTCTGACACCGTACTAGATGTTTGCTCATAGCTCAGCAGACCGTGAGGCAGGTCTGCAGTGGCTGTAGCAGGTGGAGTGTCTGTATTTGGTAGAAAGTCAAGCTCTGGGGTTTAAGATGCTCGTAATAACATCGATAATTGACAGATGAGAAGTGGTGAGTGACAGATGAAGAAGTGATGCTCAGCTGTTCTGCCTGGCTGGTGGAGAGTGTCTGGGTGTGTGTGTGTGAGTCATAGAAACGTGTTAAAAATTAACTCATTAATGAATTAATGTTCCTTCTATAGGTGTTGTGAGTGCTTAAGATGCTGTGGAAGGAGAGACCCAAGGCCTCGTACTGTTTGGCTTGGCCACCCAGAGAAGAGAGACCAGAGATACCCTCGCAATGTGATCAACAATCAGAAATACAACTTTTTTACATTTCTCCCTGGGGTAAGTGTGAAGAAAGTTGCTTTTCATCATCCCGCCCCAATGCTTTCCCCAGTTTCAGTGGTTTTACAGTAGTCAGGTGCAGAACCTGGAGCTGGAGGAAATAATAAATGTTTGCGTTGTGTTTGGTGGGCCTCCTGCAAAGCCTGCCTTAGGGCAGCAGCAAACCAGACACAGATCTGTCCTGAGTGTCCAGATCTACTTTAAGACTGCCCTAAGTTAGCACTTAGACACTGGAGGAGCATGCAGAAATGTTTCTGGTGGTTAGTTCAATATGCATAATGTCTGGACTCCATTAATCTCCTCCCTTCTCTTTTTCTTTTTTTTTTTTTTAGGTGTTGTTTAACCAGTTCAAATACTTCTTCAACCTTTATTTCTTGCTTTTGGCCTGCTCTCAATTTGTCGTTGAAATGAGGCTTGGTGCACTTTACACGTACTGGGTTCCTCTGGTAGGTCATTTAAGGCTTATTTATTCAAGAAAGTTTCAGTGTTTGACAAAATTCCCTGTGATGCCTTTTCTCTAGGCTGTAAGTTTTGCACCTTAAATCATTTTGTTAGCATACTTCTTCAGGCCTGCTCCGTACATGATGTAGTGTAGATGCCTGTTCTGGCCTTAAGCTTTATGTTGCAGAAGTTTGGCAGGGATGCAAGAGGACTCTGCCCCCAACTTGTTCATCACAACAGGCACAGAGCTCTCGCCGCTGGCTGCTGTGACTGCAGGGGCAGCGGGGCTTCATGAATAACACGAGAAAACAAATGGAGACCAGAGCAAATACATTTCCCTGGCAATGTGTGTGTTGTTCAGACCCTCATGGAGGGTCTGCGTGGGGTGTTGTGCCCTCCCGGGGTGATCGCGCAAGGGCCAGCGCTTGTGGGAGCGCAGACCAGCCTGGTAACTGCAGTGAAAGACCGAAGGGCACCTTTCAAAAGTGACCTTAATGAGCAGCCATATGCACAGTGATGGCAAATTATGCTCCCCTGCCAAACAGTTTGACCTGTGGCCTTGGGATAGGTCATCTGGCTGCTTCATATTTAACCACATTGTAAAAAACAAATGGAAAAAATGAGAAACACCTCTCCACAAATCTCCCACATATAAAAATAAATATATAGAGGCATATTCACGCTCATTCAAGGTGCAGATACTCTTTCCTTCCTGTAAGCTATTTGCCCGTTTCTTCTGATAGCCATGTGTTTTACCTGTGATCAAAGGAAATCAATAATAATCAGTTTTGAAGCAAAAACTCCAGTGCTGTCAAGGGACAGAAAGAGGAATAGTTGCATAGAACGGGCTTCTTAAATCTCTAAAATGCAGTGCATGAGCCAGCTATAACTGCTCAAATGCTTAAATATAGGTCCCTATATATTTTTTTTCTTTTATCCCAGTAAAACTATTATTTCTCTTCCTATGTGAAGAACTTCTCTGCTGCACTTCAGCTCACAGTACTGTAGAATAATTTTCGTTCAGAGGGGCATCTGGTCCAGCTGTCTGCTCAAAGCACGGCTGTCTTTAAACTTAGATTGGTTTAATTCATCTACCTGAGTTTTGAAAATCTCCAAGGATAGACACCCTTTTTACTTTAAAGAAATGACACAAAACAATCTGAAAATGTATTTAAAAAGCACAAGGCTCTTTCTAAGACCCTACTTGTGCACTCATTTGAGAAATGGTAGTGGTAAAAATTCGTGGCTCTATTGAGGGAGCTGAGGAGGGGCAAAGGGAATTTTTCCTGCCTTTTAGACTTTCAGTACAGTGAAATCCTCCGTAACAGCCAGAAAGAAGTGAAGGGGCAGCTTTGGGACATTGCTGTTAAAATTCTGTTTATGTTAAAGCCTGGATCTCACTGGATTCTCTCTCGAGGGTGTGCTGTATTGCATTTGCTGTGTGAACCTGATGCTCATTTCATAAGCTCCTGTTCTATAAACATATATAGGTGCACGAAGAGGATCTCTCTTCAGGGTTTTGTATTGGCAGTTGTAACTTGTCTGTGCCAGGTGAGCAATTAGAATTTGGCATATGAGCTGCCAGAAAGCAGGATAAGAAAGGTCTTTGTTCATTACTGGCTGCTAATACGAGTGTTGGGGATGGAATGACATATGAGATGACACAGTGAGTAGGCACATGTGGGAATATTTTGGGGTGATTATTTGAAGAGTCTTCAAACAGCTGAAACATGAGTTGAAAATAACTGATGCTTTTTTATTTTATTTTGGGAAGCAGATAGACATTTCTAGCTAAACACAGAACTGCAACTTGTAAATGGAAGAGAAATGTTCATGCTTTTCTTGATTTGTTGGTTATGGGAATGAGAGATCTTCCACGGCAGACGGTCGTGGTCCTGAACACTGGGGGGGTGAAACGCTTCTCTGAATATATTTGAATAATGGCTTCTTACTTTCAATGTTTGTAAATGCAGGATTGAATACAGGCATTTTTTAAAAAAGTAAATGCCCATCCCTGAGTCTCTTCATGTGTCTGCATTTTTAAATACTGCAGAAACATACTACGTTGTATTTCAAGACTGATACTAATCTAGATCATGCATTTAGATGCATATGTATGTACTAGAATTGGGGACTATTTAGTTTTATTATAGGATTGTGAGAGCCAGCAGGTGAAGTGTACCTTGGTATTTTAATAATTAAAGAAACTGCTCTCCTTCAGCCTTAGTAGCTCTTAGGTCATTCCTTATTATTTTAATTTGTTTAAAAAAATGTGAGAATTTGAATTGTTGCTGTGTTGGGTAGCATTAGCAATGCTCCACAGCAAGACTTTCCTGAGGTGGCTGTGGAGTTCAGGTTGACAAGTTCTTTGTGCCCAGCTTAACAACTCATACGCACAGTTTTTGGAGGTGTGTGCAGGCTGTTCTTTCTAACGAGGAAGTTGCTTAAAGTCAGAAATTGCAACCCACTGGCAAAATCTCCTGTTGGGGTAGGTGGGCATTTACAGACATGTGTTTTTCATGTAGCCCTCAGTTTCTAACATCACCCTGCCCCCTTCTTAAAATAAAAAAAAGTTTCTTATTGACAGAGCTAATCAGTACATGGCTCAAGAATACAGGTTGTAAAAAGTTCATTTTTCTTCTGTAATGGATGAGGAGTGTTGTAACTTTTCAGTGAGTCTGAGCTGAATGGTGCCTAACAAAAAAATGACTGTGGTACTAGCCCCCAAAATAATTGTTTTGCATTAATTTAGTAAATTTGTATATAGTGAAGGATGTGATGTGGGCATTTTCCTCATGACAAGAGGAAATGAAATGACTTCTCATATCCACGGAAGAGTAGGACTGAAACCTTAATCAGACAAATGTGTAATTACACTATGAGTAGTTCACATTAATGTGTTTAGAGTGCTTATTTGTGTAGATTGAGTGTGTATATACATACACATGAATACACACACGTTATATAAGTATATATATCTGTATATATAAAAAAGGTGTAATATAAATTTCTATATAGATTTCTATATAAAGAAACCTCCCAGATTAGGTGAGCTAACTTTGATGGCTTTGTGAGGGAGGGAGTACTGAGATTTGAGGGATCCTGTCTTACACTGGAGTTCTGTGTAACCCCTCTCAGTCTTGGTTACTCACCTGTAAAGTGAGATGAAATATGTTATTTACACTCTTCAGGTAAAATCTACAAAGATTTGCTTGGGGTGTACTGACAGACCATTGTGGTAAAGCTCTCAATCAAACGCTGCTGACAGTCGGAGAAGCAGAGTTCAAGGAATGGGGAGGGGGGTTATGGGCACGTGGGCACGTGGCTTCATGGCCACGCCGCTACTTCTGCCACTGCGGAGGCCTCGGGGGTCCGGGTGGCTTCTCATGGATGGCTCCTCACCGGGCTGTGGTGGATGCTAGGCTCTGCTGAGGGTTTCCTAGGGAGATACAGCTGATGCGAGGGGTCTGTGTGTTAATTGCTTCAGATAACTTCAGAGCATCATCTTGGCGACTTGAGGCATGGGGAGCGGGCAGCCAGTGCGTTTACACACGCAGGAGCCTGCTTGGTGGGCTGGGAGTTCACTGCAGCCAGCACCGGGCAGGGCTGAGCTTCCAGGCAGCTGATGTGATATTTTTAAAGCCAGCTTGCTCCTAACTCCAGTGTAGGCCAAAACTTCTTTCCCATTTATTGTCCCTTCTTGGGGGATTGGGGTCACCAAAGAAAATTAAACTGGATCTGAATTGTTCTAGGTTGTGGAGGTGGATATTTCCAGAAGGGAAATGCATTTTCCTTCCTGCAAAGCTATGATGGGAGAGAAGTACTCTGTAATGTTGCATGGATGAAGGGAGGGAGAGGCAAATACAGCAAACAGCACAGTAGGAAGAAAACAAGAATGGAACTGTGTGTGTATGTGTGTATATATACATATATACACACACATATACATATGATATGTTGTTTGGGGAGGTTGGTTGTTTTTCTTCCAGTTTTGGTAATAATGTATCTGTCTTCCCCCTGCATGTGTTTTTTGCTTGTTCCCCCTGTCGGTAGGAGAGACAGATGTAAGAAGGGTTCCTATAAGCTACCAATTCATATTCTTTAATGAAAAAAAACAAACGTGTGCTTAAAAAAGGGAGGAGGATCTACACAGCCAGATAATTTGCAAAAGCACTTTACTAGAAGAATTAAACCTAGGTCTGTGAAATTGTCAGCAGATGCTTATGCAGAGGTAGATTCAGCTACTGAGGGTGAAGGTAGGCTGTGTTCTGATGTCCAGGACTGAGGATCCTTTCAGCACAGGTATTGCAAATCATAGTTAAATACAGGTACTCTGTGTACTGAAGGAGCTTGTAAGTGTCAAGCAAGTCATCTTAAATTTAACCTGTGCATACTTGTGTTCCATCACTTATTGAACGTGCAATACCAGTTGAGTTTCATAGTTTTTCCTGGGTTGTACCAGGCAGGGGCTTAGATTGTGCAAGTCCTTTGCTAAAAGAGACAGTGTGATATGTTATCACATCTTTTGTATGTTTCTATTAGCAGCGACTGATGTAGTTCCTCAATATTGGCAATATCTTATCTTGTATTTTTTTGTACGCATCCACTTCAGCCCCTTCCTCCAACTGCGAGGAGTTTGGAGACCTCGTTTGTAAGTGAGCCCAGGCTGCAGCTCAGCTGTGTCCCATCCCTGGCTCTGGCCATTGTTTACAGCTGTGCCGTACCTAACAAAGACATTTAAATTCTTGTTTGAAAAATCCAATGCTGCCTCACTATGGAGTTACTCCTAATACCATGACAATGATGGTGAGGCCAGGGTTTTGTTTTTAAAAAGGGAATGAACTGAATTTAAGCAACTTCTTTTTTTCATTTCCAGTTTCTTTGTTATAAAAGTTTATACCCCTGAATTAAGATGCAGTGAACTAGGTGTAGTAAAAATGTGCTGCTTTCAACACTTGCACTTTTAAGAATAAGGCTGCTTTTTAAATGTAATTGCGTAAGGCTGTGTGTATTTCACATGCAGAAATTATGAGGCAACTCCAAACTAGGAGTTTGAGTTTCTGAATATTAAATCCCCTTTTAATAACGTGTTCTTACTACAACACTTAAAATGCTTGGCAACCAACAAAAGCCTCATCCAAGAGGGGTGTACTACATCTATTTAAAGATATAAAAGAGTTGCCTTCTGGATTCTATTCAATGATCTATAAGGGGCCTGACCTCTCCTTTAGTTCTTTTCATATTGCTATTACGTTTCCCATGAATGATTTCCCTCCCCCCAGTCCTTTAACTTTTCTAATTTTGTGAAAGAAACCCAGGAGGATTGGCAGCTGGGCACTAGCCGAAAGTCTTAAGCCACTTTATTTAACATGAATTTGGTGCAGAAACAGGAATGGGACTCTCTAGCAGTATAGTTTTGAGTAGGAAACCCACAGAAGATTATTTATGATTGTCTCATGGTCTGGAGACAAAAGTAATTTTCTGTCTCTCACGGAATCTCAGTACTCAAGCTTTTCAGGAGACCTGAACATCTACCTTACCACTGAGTAAAATGCTAGCACTGCTGAGAATCACCTAGGAGCAGGGAAGTGCCTTGTGAGGCCACCGTGGCTGGAAGAGCATTGGGTTTGGTTTATTGTATCTGTTAGTACAGTTAGAAAAAGTAGGCAAGCTTTCAAGGAAGCCCTTCATTGGGTCAGAAGTAGAAGCAGCAAATACCAAAATAAATTTGAGAACAGCTGATTTTAACCATTAATTTTCAGTGTAGCTGACAAAAGTCCAGGTAGGACTTGCCTTGGACTGTTTAATTTTGTTGTTGTTGAATAGCACACTTCATGTTTCAGGATATTGGCACAGCCCGGTACTGAAAAGGGGCAGTGCAGAAGGGTATGGATGCACAGAAGCCCTCTGAAATGTTGCTTTATAATTTTTTTAAAACTTAAAATAGTTTCACCTCTAAAGCCAGTATTTTAGGGGAGGGGGATTAGGTGAGGCTCAACATTGAGCACTGCTGTCTTGAAGACTGGCTGTAATGGATCTGATGGAGCGCTGTAGCTTTCTCCAAGCTATTTTTATTTCTCCTGAGTATTTGCACTAAGCTGCAGTTCAGACGGCTGGAGAATAGTTTTTCCCATCTCCAGCCTTAGCCTCCCAGTGCTACCTTAGTCTCCCTGTCCCTCCAACCCCATGGATGTAAACACATACCGAGGTCTGAATGACGTCAGGGAGACTTAAGGACATGTTTATACTCAGTTTTGAATAGGGACAGAAGTAAGCACAGATTTAAGTGCTTTCCCGAATTGGGATCCTCTTGTCCTCTTTGTGTGTGGTTCCTCACGGCCGGGCACAGCTCCTGGCACTGGCCAGGAGCTCTCTGGCTCCAGCACTCCCACCAGCCTCATCCCCCATGCCTAGGGGGGTACTTTGGATTTGCAGCTTTGCTCCTGTACGTGAAACTTTTTTCATGCCCTCTTCTTGTTAAGTTTTTTAAGATTCACTAAGCTGCTTGCTTTTTAGAGAAAAAGGGAGAATCCTCTTTGGATCACATTTTATTTTGAATATGGTTGCTGAACTCCAGGAACTAATCTTTTTGGAGGGCAACGTGAGGCAGAGTAGACGGTAGTGTGTTTTCTGCGTTCCTTTATTTTACATAACATCAAAAAAGCTCCACCCTGAACCTCTCTTCTCTTTCTGCTGATGTGATCCATTTATGTTCCGAAATGATGAAACCAGCAGACTTCTGGAAAGCATTATTTGGGGGTTTTTTAATAGAAAGCTCTCCATTTAAAGGACAGTTGTTTGGATTGTAATAAAAAATAATCAAATTTCAATCCCCTATTCATAAACCTACAAGCTGCCTTGTGTTCAGAAGCCTGTGTGCTGACTTTCTGCTTGATAGAAAGCTAGAACTGTGCTTGCAAATTCTTGGTTTGTTTTTCTTCTCTCACAGCCCCCCTCACCGGGTAACACTGCATAATAGAGAGAAACTCCACAGAAAAAAATGGGAAGAGACCTCCTACTGCGGGGTGCTACTTAAGATACAGATCATTGGCATTTACCAGCCATATAAAAACAATATTTTCCCAAACCCTCTGAGTCCTGCTCCACAGTTTATACAGCATAAGGCTGCAAAAGCCAAAAGTTTGGTGCAGCACATCCAAGCAACCCTTTTTTTTTTTTCAGATGCATTTGACTTGTTTTAATAAACCTCTGGCTTCATCTTTAATGCTGAAGTAAGTGTTTTGATCTGTACCTTAGTGAAGCTCTGCAGATCTATTGTGAAATCTTGGCTTAAGTGCTCGCATGGTAGAAAAACACATCTCGTCTGGCTAATATATTTAAGACTTCAAATAATCTGCTTTATGGTACCATCACACTGCAGATTTGGTGGTAATTGCAAAGGCCATAGCTGAAGTTGGAACAAACTGTTTACATTTTATTGTGTTTACTTTTTTGTCTTTAAAAATACATGAATCGGGATACAGCAAAGAATGGAACAATTATCAAGAAAATATTAAGAATTGATTCTTTTTTCAAAAAATAAGAGATCGAGCCTAGTTGCTTTTTTAAGTTGTGTTAATCACTGATGTGTGTTCTGATTAAGTTCTGAAAATACAAACTGGAAGCATTGCAAATGCTAAATACAGCTACGTGTATTTAGAGGAAGCACTTCTAGATGCATTTATAAAAGCAGTAATTTATTATTACAAAAATACTTTACTAGCAGAGCAATATTGGGAAATGAAGCAGTTGTGTTATTAGCTAGTTTCTTAAACATGCGTGAGAAAACATCTAATGTTTAGGAGGTAGTTTCCCCACAGAAAGAAAAAGGAATTACAGAATTCCCAAGATCAAAATAAAACTAATTCAAGTAAGTTGCTTTATGGGAGTCCTGAGTCAAAGGAAACATCTGGTCCCGCGCCTTCTTAGCAGGACATATGGTACATACTGCAGAGATGTCATCCAGGAGAGGCCAGGAGTATGGCTGGAAAAGCAGAATTAGCTTTGCTACCTACAAAGGGCATCTCATTTATACAGGAGTTATAAAAATGTGTGGTTGGGAGGGTTATTGAACAAGACAAATCTGCTCCAGCTGCTTTGATTTTTCTTGTATTAGAAAAATTTTAAAGCAGATGATACCGTTTTCAGAATAATGGTCCAAAAAGCCTTTTGTGTGCATAATGGTAAGAAATCATCACGTTGTAGCTTTGTCCAGGTATGAGTTTTTCTTTTCCAGCGTGAATTTGCATCATTAAGGAAAGCACTACAAAAATAAATTTCAGTTCTTGAACCCTGCAGGTAGTGCTTCCTCTGCCAATCGTCACCAGATAAATCCTTGAGATCTTTGAGGGAAATACCTAAAATATGGTTAAACAAATCCACCTCTCCTTCCAAGAGCTTTTTTGCACAGTGGTTTAGGAATTGCTGTTCCTGTGTGGGGAGAGCACACAGAGGTTTTTTTTTTTTTTCCTCCTTTACACAGGAGAATATTCAAAAGCACTTTTTGTTGTTTGGTGAATAACCGTATTAAAAGGGGAGGAAGAGATGTTATCTGTCAGACCCTTTTAGTGTCATAGTACCTAACTTTGTATAGCCTATACAGAAGACTGCCAGGGATGCTTTTTTGGATCCTCTCGGAGTGCGGCTTTTCTTTTCAAGCCCCTGCGTAATGGACTCTTAATCCCCGGTATGCTTCCTGCCCCGGCAGAGATGTCTTTAGCCCAGCGTTTGTTTTTTTTACCCTGGTTTTTTTTTTTAACTAAAAATCTTGCCAGGCAAACCCCAGAATCCACGAAAGACCTATGAGATATTTGTGAAATGGGCCATGACTGCTTATAATTTGTAGGAATAATTACAGCATGTAAGGAAGTCTGCATTTATTAGCAGCAGTGATGAAGCATGTTGTTAAGCACACAGTGTGTCACCAAAGCAGCAGGCTGCCGGGAGCCCAGAATGGCTTTCATTGTTAATTTGGAGCAGAAACACTGAAGCATATCCTGAGAAGGATGCTAATGAAGGGACTGCCAGTAGTAAAATCCTAGTGACCTTTGTGCTTTGTGCTAATTTCTATTCCCCCTCCCTTCCCCCTTCTCCTTTCCTCCTGAGCGGCTATCTGGCCAGTTAGCCCCTGAATTTTGAGGTACAGTAGGGGTGTTGTCCGTGCCAGGGTGAGCTCCACGTGCCTCCCCCACTTCCACTCAAATCACAGCAGATTAAAGGGGCTTTTGTTGAAATATAACAGACAGACACATAGAGGCAGGGTTCAAATTAACTGATTATAAATCACTAGTTAGTCTGAGAAACCAAATCTAGAGCTGGCTAATGATTTGAAATTACTAGCCAATTGTTTAATTAATCCCCTGTTTTAAAGCAACTGGGAAATGTTTGACAGCTGCAAAGAAATAAATATTTATGCGTTTTCTGTAGGGCCCGTACTCTGCAGGGCTTGTTCAGGCTGTGTCCACTGAGAGGCAAAGGAGGGGTGGGAGAGCTGCAGCACAGAAGAAAATGAGCCTGGTTTTTAAGATGGGCCCATTTTACTTACAGCTCTTGGCTTGAGAGTTGAGCTTTAAGTTTTCAGCCACCTAAGGGAGAGGAGTCAGGAGTTGATGGTTCCCTATTGTAATTTTTCTGTTCTTGTTCTGTTGTCTGCCTGACATCAAAAGTATTTTCAAATTCCTGGGTTAAGCAGTATGCAAAAAAGTTTAAGGGTTTGTTTCAGAGTTGTCACTAGAGAGCAACCAGGGTGTTTCTGCGTCCAGGGCTGAGGTCTGGAGCTGTTAGATGAGAAGCTTTCAGCCCTTTTTGCAGATTGAAACCTACAGCTTTACCCAGTGGGAGCAGTAGGCTTGGTAAGTCTTTACAGGGCAGCGTTGCCTGATTCTTGTGACAGAAACGTTACCTATGCTCTCCAGAACAGTGAAGTGGAAGGAAGGGAGGTAAGGATCATTGCACAGCACCCACAAACCCTGTCCTGCTGCTGCTCTAATGCACCGATATCTTTCCTTTGCAGGGACTGTGAAGGTGAAGAGCTCTAATATACAAGTAGGCGACCTCATCATCGTTGAAAAGGTTAGCCTTTATGTGGATCTTTTCTTTGTAAAGTACTTTTTTTGCAAGATCATAGAAAATGAGATATTTTGAAGTCACATTTGCTTTAAGATAGGCTCAGAATATCAAGTGTTGAACACTAGTTATAATTAATCACTATTCAGGGTTTATCCCTTTCCCCCCCGCCCCCTTTTTCACACGCTCTCTGTGCAAGCAGCGATGTCCTCTAAAACTATTACTCTGAAAATAATACGCAATACAAAAAAAAAGAAGGGTAGCTGTAGATTCCAGATACATGCTTTCTTCTAGCATGGGACATCTTGAAAGGAAACCAGCGTTAGTTTAAAATTTCTTCATACTTCTAGGGTTACTCACTAGCTCTTTTGTAAACCTAGCTGTTGGTCAGTCTGGCCAGTGGGAGCTGGCACCAGTTATTATTCTGCACTTGGAATTCTGCAGGGAAGCGAGTTTAGGATTCAAAGCAAAATGAATACCAAGCTTCGGTTTGACAAAGAAATCCTCTTTCTCCTCCATAGCCCCTTGGCTTGTCGCGGTGGGGCTGTGGGAGGCGGCTGCACGCGCGTGCAGGGCTGTATGCACAATAATGGCCTTTCTTCTCCCAACAGAACCAGCGGGTCCCTGCTGACATGATCTTCCTGAGGACGTCCGAGAAGAATGGTAAACATCTGGAACCAATTGTCAAAATAGCCATTAACCTTTCACTGGTTGTTTAGAGAAAATTATCTTTTGGAAATGTGAAAGAAATAGATAATAGCAAAATTTTAGAGAGACAGAGAATTCAAGTGCTTTTATGGACCACCAGTTCTCGGGATGTTATACTGTTTGCTAATTGAAGAATGTAGGTAGTTGAATCCAGGATAAATGAATTGGGTCGCACAATGGTTTGCGTTATAGATGTAAATCATTTTACTTGCCGTTCAGGTTGGTTTTTGGTAAGTGGGGGATAAGGAGTTGTTTGATCAGAAGCATTAGAAACCATAAAGACTAATGAGAACATTTCAAATGTCTTAAAGGTACAGTGCAGAGTCTCACTGTATTCTGGACTAGTGGAAAGAAATGAAAGTGTGACGCAAGAATATCATTCTTACATTTTTAACAAATGTTCCTTGAAATCAGATACTGTTTCCAAAGAGAGAAAGGAGTCCTAGATATACAGCTCATTTAATAAGCTATAGGTGTACCCAAGACAGATCTGGAAAGAGCACTGACTGGTGTTGGAAACCCACAGGGTCTTGCTTCCTTCGCACTGACCAGCTGGATGGTGAGACAGACTGGAAGTTGCGGCTGCCTGTTACCTGTACTCAGAGACTGCCAACTGCTTCTGTAAGCTGCCTTCCTACAAAATACTCTTGCTTGGTAAACACGTGTTATCTGTTTTACCTGAAAAACATTCAGGTGCTTCAGTTAATGGGCTGTTTTGAGAGCCAGGTTAATGCAGCTTTGTTCTGCACGGGGCTCAGTGCACGTTACAGATTAGCTTTGGCAACAAAGACTAGGAGGATAAGCCAGCTCTTCCCAAGCGCCAGGCACGTTTTCAGGTAAGGTGAAGCTAGGTGTCTGTGCCGCGTGGCTGTCACCGCAGCTGGAGGATGACCTTGCAGCAGGAGGTGGCTGATGGTAGGATGCTCCTATTTTCTTTTTCCTCTCCAGAGACCATTGCAGTAACTTACTGCAGGACCGGTCTTGTTGCAGGATAGGTACCCTTGGTGGTGGTACTTCTCAAACATGCCCTTTCATTCCTTGTGCTGCAGTATGTTCAGAGGCACAGTTCACCAATTTTCAGGAAATGGCTTCAGAGGCAATTAAGTTTTCATTGCTTACCTTTGTGAAATGAGCAGTGTCCACATGGAAGCTCCACTGTATGGTCTGAAATAAGCATATAACCGCCATCAAACATGCTGTTTCCCAAAACCTCTAGCTAAAGTAGTTGGTGTGGTTTTTGGGTTTTTTTTGGAGGAGGGGGGGATCTAAGTACCTGTTTTATTGATGTTCTACCTGTAAAAAGTGCAAGAAGTTTATTTTATACAAAGGCTTTGAAGCAAGGCATTTCGTCCTTGGAGTGTGCAGGAGTCAGCAGTGAAAACACTGTGCAGAACTGACGGATCTTCTTGTCACCACAGAACTGTTCCTAGTGACACTGGCATCTTGAACTAAATACTGAGTGATAGGGTGTTCCCTGGTTGCCTTGGAAGACTAGTTCAAACCTTCTGTGCTACGAAGTAATAAGTGTCTTAGGCTGTCTTGATTATTCAGGCTGAAATATCTTTTATGGAGCACTGACATCTCAGTAACTCCCAGGGGTCTCTGAGGTATCAGTTCAAGAAATACTCTTCAGTGGAGCTGGTACAACGATTTTCTCTTAGACAGTTAGGCTCCAGTGAGTAATATAATTTAGTAATTATCTTAACTTGATAAGTAACTCTTGCTTGAAGTATTTTGATAGAAACATTTGTACATTATTAAAATACTGTTGTCTAATTCTCTGCCAAAACATGTCTGTTTTGTAGGACTTACTGCAAATTCGATCCTATGTCTATGCAGAAGAACCCAATATTGACATACATAATTTCGTGGGAACCTTCACAAGAGTAAGTCTTGCTGACATATGCTTGAAATCATATATGTAGTATTTGCTGTGCAAACCTGCTGAATGCTACCAGGATGACAGAATTTTTCAGCAGAAATAGTGAAGTCTCTCTTGCCATTCCTTGTCTCGTCTTTCTTTTTTTCTTCCCCCCCCTTTTTTTTTTCCTTCATAAAATCCATGAAATAAATCTGAAACAAAAATATGTTTTTTGAAGCTCTGACTTGGAGACAATGTCGTAGGCTGATTGGGATTAAGGACCTTTCTCTGAAGGTATTAGACCTGAACATTTGGATGGAGATCTGTAGTTATGTATTCATGGTGACTGTTCAGAAGGAAATCTGGACCACCATGGACTCTCTAGGATTAAAATCCTTTAATTGTGAAAAGACAGGGATCTTGGCTAGATCAGGCAATAGCCATCTTAATTCTGAGTCCCTTGGTTTTTTGCCTTCAGTTGCATGCAACCTATGTGAACTCAGTTTTATATCTGCCCCCTATTTCAGAGGGCAGCAGCTCAGAGCCACTGTGAAATATCACCATTAAAAAAAATATATCTTTTGACTTGTTGGGAAGATGCATTGCCTACTTGGGGCAAAAGGTGGGGTTTTTTCCTCTCAGTGGGATTATGAAAATTTTGAGAGATTCATCTAATAACCCTTGGGGAGCTTTCAGAGGACAAATGGTTTTGTAACAAATAGGAGGTGGTTACAGCTTTTTAGAAGTTGTTTGCTGGTATTTTAGTTCAAAAACGTAGGTTTTGAGCTGTTATCTTCATGTGGCATGGTTCAATCTGGTTTTATGTGGCATGATTTAATCTGGTTTGATAATGTTGGCACGGGCGAGTGGCTTGGGGAGACAGTTCTTGTATAAAACCTGCACAGACATAATTTACTTTCTCATGCAAAGGAACAACTGAGTAGAATTAATCTTTCGATGCCTAAGAGGAATCACTCCTTCTTGTAACTGTTCTCTTTTCTGCGTATCAGACAACTTCCCAAGCATCACTGAGCAGTCCAAACAGGTTCTCAGTGAGATCTTACAGTAGCAGGAGAAATGCATTCATCCGCATGAACCAACCGAGGGAACATTTTCCTGTAGTCCCTGGAGAGCTGCTAACAAATCCTTCTCTCATTTATTATTCCCGGGGGCCTTCAGCAGGCAGAGGTATCTTAATAGATTTCCCCCCACCCCAATCCTTCTGTTCCACTGAAACAAAGTGCTCATGGTTTTAACACAATCAAAGATTCACCTGGGTTTATGAGACTCCTCCATCCTACCAAGAGGCGCTCTACGAACTCTCCCAGCACCCCTCTCCAAACGCCTCTGTGTGACTCGGGTCTTTTGCATTACAGACAAGTTTGTTTATATTTTTTTTTTTACTCTGTTGTAGGAGGACAGTGACCCTCCAGTAAATGAAAGTTTAAGCATAGAAAACACCCTATGGGCCAGCACAGTGATTGCATCAGGTAAGATGGAGGCACGTGTAAATTTTTTTTAAGGGAATATGTTAACAATTTTTAAAGGTCTTTTTGTAATGGAATAATAATCTCTGTCAGTTGGAGAAATTAGCAGTTGGAATGAGGTTTCCCACTTGTCCTAACACCTCTGGGGAGCTGAGCTGACATCTAATTGCCTCTTGGACATTCCTAGATGAGAAAGAATTGGAGTGGCCTTTGGGCACTTCTTTAGCATCTAGGACCAGAATAGCACTTAATTGCTCTCCACATTGACATCCTAATCTGTAACAGAAATGGTGTCAAATAGATTCTGGTAACAGAAGCTAAGATGAAAGATTTTCAGGTAAGTGCTTCCATTGAGTTGATCTAATATACTTTTAAAAAGGAAAAAAATAAATTCTTTGACAGATTTTGGCTTATATTTACTATAAGCTCCCAAGGCCTGAAATTAGTCACTGCCCTCTTGTAGAGGCTTGTCAAAGTAAAAGCCTTGTTCTGCTCCTGTCCAGCACGCTTGCGAAGTTTGAAGGGCAATAGCTGGAGGAGAGTGAAATTCTGTAGTAGAGTTCTGGAATTAAAGTTGTCAAATGGAGAGACTTGACAGTGACCTACCAGGGTGTACATGGAATTAATAAGAATAGGAAAGAACATGAACCTCAGAAGATTTTTTTTTTTTAATCACTGAAAAGATTCTGATTTGCTCTTTTAAAGGCAGAAAACAGTGAATAAACTTTATTCACCAATGCAAGCGAGCTCGTCGGAGATGTCCAGATCGGAGGCAGCCTGGGCTGCAGTGATCACGCGCTGGTAGAGCTCACGCTCCTGAGGGAAATGGGAAGGACAAAGAGTATAGTCAGGACCCTGAATTTTAGAAAAGCCAACTTCCAGCTCCTCAAGGAGATAGTCAGTAGGACTCCCTGGGAAACGGCCCTCAGGGACAGGGGAGATTCCTGTTTGTTTCTATCTAATCCTGCTTTGACTCTTCTTTGAAATGTATTACAGTGTTGCCACACTGCTGTGACCAAGGGATTGTAAAAAACCTGGTTGTCCAAATACAATTTAGTCGAGGTCCAAATAAAATTTAATCAAGTGAATTATGTTTATAGATTAGTAGTTACGGTGCAGTAGGTAAGCTACCTTCTTCCCCCCTGAGCATAGACACATGTAGTCAGCCTGGCAGCTTCAAATTCCCATCAGGCTGCTTAATGCATGGCTCTCAGCTTGTCCTGCTTTTGAAGAAAATAGATGGAGAAATGGAAAGCCATTTTTCTTGTGATTCTGTCCTGTATGGCTCATCTCCCTGCAGCACCCTTTCCCAGGGGGGCTTTCTTGCCTCTTGTATCAAAGCTTTAATTTGTATCAGCTCTCAAACCATTGCAGATCTCGTGCTGCCTTGGCTGAGCCTGACATGGGGGGGTGTTACAGTGAATAGTCCTTCTGCAGTCCAAGGGGAATGCTCTCCCATCCTCAGCATGCTCACAGCCGGTGCCTGCTGAGGGTGAAAGCTCTTCCTCTGCCATACACTCAGCTGTGTGTAGTATACACGTGGGTGCAGACGTTTTTCCCCAAAGGAGGGCACAGCACATGCTCTGCTCTACCTGGTTGCTGCTTCAGTGCTGTTTAGAAGTCCTGGGTGGTCTTGGTGTCTGTATCAAGGCATGCAATGACCTCCTCTCTACCCAAATGAACTTACTGTCTGAATTTAATCCTCCTTTCTGAGTAAGGTTTCAAATGGTTTATGCAGTTGAGTCTGTTTCGAATGGCCATAAAACAACTAGAAACACTCTTTTTATACATACCAGTCTGCCTCCAAGCTGTTTTCTAGTCCTGGCAGGTTTTTCCTCTCATTTTGACTGACTTGATCAATATAATACTTGGGTTTGTTTCTCCTGTGGTAGTAATAAATAGCATGTTGTAGGTTATTTCTGTTAGGAAAAAATGTAACTATTATTTCTCTTCGTCTGTAAGTGAAAGCTGTCAAGCTGTGGTGATGCCATCTCACCGGGGCAGCCTTTTCTTGCAAGACGAAGCAGAGCTATGTGGCTTTCTCCGTCTGCTGTAGTAGGAATGGGTCTGACTCTGACTGTTTGTGGTTGATTTGGAGTAGCTGTGCCATCTGCTGATTTGAATTGTGATGATCTTACCACCACCTGCCATCTGCCTCCAGGGATTTGTTGTTGTTTTTTGGATTGGGATTTTTTTAAGGAATGTTTCCCAGCATATTTTTAGAAACCACCTCTTTTGAATCAGTCTTATTTAAAAATAATTCACTTGCAGCTTGTTAAAACTTTGATTGTTAATGGGGGCAGGGGAATAGCAGAGTATAAAATGGCAATCTATTCGCCAAAAAAAGCAATGCTTTTTTTTTTTTCAGTGTTGTTTTTCTCCATTTTTACAGACCCCTGAAATTTTCTAGTGAAAAATTAGATTTCAGCAATAGCAGCTTTTAAACTCTTGATGGTAGATGACTTTTTTTCTTTATGGCGTTTTTGCAAAGGCTTTAAGAGAACTCTGTAGAAACGCAGTAACTTACGGTGCTAAACTGTATTATTATTCTGCAAGAAGAAAAGGGAGAATTTTGTTGCTCTCAGCTCTTTAGCAACTGTGGGACATAGCATTAAAATACACTGATAGGCTCCCAGCAGCTCCATCTGTTACAGTAAGGTAGCAGTTGGTGTGACTTGCCTTTCAGTGAGATCAACAATTAGACAATACTTAAAGAAGTAAATTGTAGGTTTTAAAAATAAGGTAAATCTGTCTTTGAAAGCTGTTGGGATTCCTTGGTTTTACTCCGGTTGTGCCAACCTTCACCAATAAAGAAGAACCGTAGCCCAGAGCACTGATTTAATTTTGACACACAATTAAGGTGTGTGTCTGGTGTAAGGCGAACTTACCCACACCTAAGCGGGATCCAATGTGGTGGGAGGAAAACCAAGAAATCCTCCGTCCTTAGCAACTTTTATTTATAGTGGGGAGACATCAAAAGGGGGTCAGGGAAAGTCGAGAGAGCAAAGCAGGTCACTTCTCTTTCCATGCACGTTAGTTGATGCTGTCTGTGACGCTGCATCAGGTCCAACTGTACAGGCAGTGTGGTTGAAGACTTGCTGACTTTTTGTAGGATGTCTTCTGTTCAAAGTCTGTGTTTTCATAGGTTTTATATTTTAGGTACCAGCTTTTGTAATTTCTGGTTGCTATTGCTTCTGAAATTGCTAAACATCCTTTCCAACTGTCAAGCCTTTGGATCCAACAAGTATTTTTATAGAGAAAACTGAGGTTGTTTTTCTTTGGCTGATGCATGCTCTGTTTTGTTTAGGTACTGTTGTGGGTGTTGTCCTCTACACTGGAAGGGAACTGCGCAGTGTGATGAATACTTCAAACCCAAGAAGTAAGGTATGGTAAGGAAACAGTCTTATAATAAATAAAAAGGGGCAGAAATTTATCATTTTCTAAAGAAAATCCTTCAGAATGCTATACGTGCACACTGTAGGGACAACCCCATAGGAATAATGATTCATATCTTCCAACCTACGATTTGAGATAGCTACACAGCAGAATCTATTTCTCCTTGTTTTTTGGTCCTATTATACATGTGTCTTCTCACTTTAAGATTGGTAAATCTAGTTAGAATACAAAAGCTTATTTTTCTGCATTCTTCTATTACAGCAAAGCTAAGACAAGGTGCAGGGATGTTTATATAGTCTGCAGCTTTTGGCAGTCCACTCACACCTCTTAATGCATTGCTTAGCTTCCAAAGGATGCAAGTCTTTAGTAAGCTGGCAACAATATTGCTTATAAATTTAAATATGTTTGTAGTGTTTTAAAAGAGAAAAAGTTGACAAATGGAGAATGGCTCTTTGGATAGGGCAGTTCATTCCCTTTGTGAGTATTACATTGGGCTAACATCTTCTCTGGTGTGTTTGAAATGTCTTTATTTTCTTTTTTAGATTGGTCTTTTTGATTTGGAAGTGAACTGCCTTACCAAGATCCTGTTTGGGGCTCTTGTGGTGGTCTCGCTTGTCATGGTGGCCCTTCAGCACTTTGCTGGCCGTTGGTATCTTCAGATCATAAGATTTCTCCTTCTGTTCTCAAACATCATTCCCATTAGGTAAGGCAATTGCTAATTCTTCCCAGCAAAATACTGTTTCTTTTGCATCCTCCTCCATGCTTCTAGTGTGAACAAGCATGTAAACTCTTAACTATTCCTCATTTGACAAGTAAGCAAATCTAGAAATAGAAATCAAATTACTGTTCAAAGATAAGAATTGCTTTATTGTTTCTGCTGAATTTGTTTAGCATATTCACCCGTTCACTGACTCTAATACAGGATGTGGATCAGTCATTTAAGGCCTCTTCTTTTCGTGTTCAGGCTGCTTTGTTACTTTGGAAAGAGCAGAGCGAAAAATGGAAAAGGAGAGAGATTTATACAGCATGCAGTGTAATAGGACCCAATTGCCTTTTAGAGGGACTGAAATTTTAATATTTAATTGCATTATATTAATAAGTAGATAGTTACTTTTGGTGTAGGTCTGGGATTCATTTCAGTTCCTTTTTTTAACCTGCTGCCTGTGTATCAATCACGCTGTCCTTACTTGTCTGTGTCTGTCTGCCCCTCAAATTATATCTGTTCCTAAGATAATTTTATCATCTATCTTTGGATTAGAGTACCACTGCAGCAATGCACAATCCTCCTCCCTGTTTGCCACCCGACTGCTGACTTTGAATATACTTCTCCCAAAACACCTTCTTTGGCAGCTCAAATTCAGCGTGGAAGACGAGTCCTTTCATTGCACTGTGGTAGTTCACAGTGGATTTTTTCCAAAGTTTTAACTGGAGATACATTTTCTTTTTCTTTTTCCCCTTCCTCCTGCGTAGTTTACGTGTGAATCTGGACATGGGGAAAATTGTCTACAGCTGGGTGATCCGCAGAGATTCCAAAATCCCTGGGACTGTGGTTCGGTCCAGCACTATTCCTGAGCAGCTGGGGAGGATATCCTATTTGCTTACAGACAAAACAGGTATCTATGTAGAAAATACAGCGTTGAGTCATGGTATGTTGTTGTTTGGATTTTGTTACATTTCTGGCCAGCCAGAGAGTATAATGTAAGATTTCTTTGGACTAGAAGAAATATGCACTTCCTGACACTTTGACAATATAGTTTAATCAGTTTTTGAAAAAAAATTTGCATTTTTTTGTTCTGAATGCACTATAAGATAGGACAGGAATATTATGCTACTTCAAAGAACACTAGAAGTGTGCTATAAAACCAAAATTAACAGCAACTTTTTAGAGTTAGTTTTCAAAGCCTGATGAAGATCGCTTACATGTGTAGGCAGAAATGTACCATTGGTCGGTCAGCTGCTGTCCTTACACTTTTAAAGTTGAGGTTGTATTCAGAAAACCTAAGCTGTAATGAAAAGCTTGGTCTGATATAAAATCCTGGTCCCACTGAAGTTGTTGCCAGAAGCTTTCTTTGGTTCCACAGGACCAGAATTATGCCTGCAGCTCTTGCTGGGATTGACTTTGGGGTAAATCTCATTCTTATTTACTGGCACAGTGATGTGCACCAATACCTCCCAGGAGAATCAGCCCTCAGGTTTGTTAATACTTTGGGTTTTGCTGGCATCAGCCTGTGCTGAGAGCCTGGTGCAGTGATTGATTCAGCTTCGGGCCCAGCTTCTCTTGAATCTAGGGTACAGCAAGGACAAGAACATCTGCTGGGGAATAGGTGTGTTGGTTCCCGCTCCATGTCTGATGCTGCTTCTGTTACAGGAACTCTTACGCAGAATGAGATGGTCTTCAAGCGACTTCACCTGGGAACTGTAGCTTATGGCCTGGACTCCATGGATGAAGTGCAGAGCCACATATTCAGTATATACACGCAGGTAGAATTAAATTGCATTACTTAACTCTTTGCTCAGAAAATGGTTTTCCAGGTCACTGGGCTAATGGTGAATTAATATGGCAGGGATCTGCCTATTAACTATTACTTTTTAGAAAAGTCTGAAGGTCATTGGATGCTTAATACATAAATATTATCATGATTGCTTATTACATTCGTAGATTGTTTCACATCTACCAGTCTTTAATTGCCACAGCACGTGCATGCATCTGTACATGTATGTGCCTGTGTCTTGCTACTGAGGTCTGATTGTAAAATAGCATACTTTTATTTAAATATTCACCACTTACAGCAACCACGTTTGCTTCGTTGAAAAATTGGCTCTGGGTGATGCTTAGTGGATTAAGTTGCTGTTTGAACTGCTGTATACTGGAGCAATAATAAAGGAACCATAGGTACTTAGTAAGCAGTAACAGAGAACAGTGTGCCAGTTAAAAAAGAAAATGGTAAAAGTGGGATTCTTTCACTAATGCACCAATGATCTTATATGGTGCATAACTGACATCTGCTTTGAGAAGTATCTACAGCTAAGGAAGGCAGCAAAGTCAACATGTAAAGTATAGAACAGGAAAATCCTGTTTTGGGAAGTCTCTCCCTTGCATTCCTCTTTCAGTATCACTGAGTGAGCCAGCATCTAAAAAGCCTTCATCTCTGTTCTTAGGCTTTTATTTCAGTTTTGTATGATAACCAGGTAATGCCAAGTGAGTTGTCTGGGTCAGCAAACTCCATTCCTTAGTGTGTTACAGCAGACAAGATGTCTACCATATAGATAGACACGCTTCCTTCTTAAAACAAGGGATGAGGTTTTACTTACAAATATCACTACCTTTAAAAAAAAAAAAAAAAAAAAAACCCCTGTAAGGGGTTGGTTTTCCAGCCGCTGATACTTACAAAAGATTTAAGAATTGTCACTAATTAAGTAATGATGGAAGCATTATTTTTCATTTTCTGTTAATAACCGTTCTTTCAACTGCAGCTAGAAATAACTTTTTTTTGGTGACTTACTGACAATTGGATGTTCTCTTTTGTAAAATGTGATTCCACAGACACAATCTGCAGATGTTAGCGATGAGTTACTACTCCCATGTCATATGCCAAGCATTTTCATTTGTCAATAGTTGTGGAATTGTTTCATTCCTCCAGAAACGCAGAAGTTGTTGTCAAGGTGCTTGTGCTTTTCTCTGGGCATGCACACCCAATGCAGTGAACTGGGCTTGTCATGTCTCATTGTTTTTGCTTTGCTCGAGAGATTTTTAGACTGAAGTGCACTTTCTATACCCCCCACAAAGTGAAACATGAAGCCAGCTTCCTTGCCTGGAAAAAGGCACTATGTACTTACTGTAGATTGGATTTTTATTTTTAGGTTTTGTTCATGGTGGTAAAGGCACACAGCAGGTTTCCGTGACCTGAGTGGTCTGTTTGGTGGCATAGCTTTTCCCTAGGCAGACTGTCAGGCTACAATGTGCTTTTAACTAAGCATATGATAGTTGATAAATACCTGGTAATTTGAGTAATTATCTTTTTCACTGGCATTTGTTTAAGCTTAATCTCAGAACAAACATTAAATATGCAATTAAATGACCGAATTGTACTTAAAAAAAAAAAACAACCAAACTGCAAGCAAACAAAAAAAACCAAACCAAAACAAAAAAAGACTTCAGATGTATTTGCCCTCATTTTGTACTCAATCTCCAGAGAAAACTTGACTACTGGTTAATTATTTGCCAAAGCATTCAATATTTGTGGAGAACCTTTTGGTGACTGTGACTAGTTCGGTATTTGACTAGTGTTGTATGTCAGTCTAAATGCACTTCAGCTGAGGCTGTGCTGCTGTTTGGTTTGGTTCAAGCCCGTTGCAACAGTGCTGATGAGCAGCAATATTAAATTTGAAGATCTTATGTCCGCTAATCACTGGAGTGTGGAACATAGTGTGTGGAATTACACTGGTAAAGGATATGTCTCATAAAACGTTTATCATTACCGAGCAAGATTCCTTATAATGAGAAGCATTTGGTGGCAATGATTCATTTGGAACTGTAGTTCTTATTCTTTGCTCTTATTTTTACCATGTTGTGGCCTTTGACCTGGAAGTGAAACTTTTGTCCTCTTGACACTAAAGGTTAACAGAGCAGGAAACTAGATCACTGTGTGTCCCTTCTTCAACCAGGATAATTTAGTAATTGTGCAATTATCTGAAGACTCCCATTCTGATACTAAAAATAGTATTAAAAATTAAATGAATGTAATTAAGACTTTTCTAGGTCCATACGAGTCATCTGTTTTCTGTTTTCAGCAATTATATTCTCTTGCACATGAAACCAAATTGACTCTACATTTTCAGAGCCACTGGTCCTTTGTGGAGCAAAAAGTCTTCTGACTTTGGTCTTTCATCAGTATTTGGTGGATCCTTCAGCAAAGGGTCTCTTTCTCAGTGTACTGTTCCAAAAACTTAGGTAAATTTTTTGGGGCACTTTACTCCACCCGTAACAATGATGAAGAAGTTGCATTAGGCTGGGGTGTGTTCCCAGTCGTGGTCTGAGTTCAGGTGTATAAAGGGCGCATCTCATTCCTGGGGACATAAGAGTCTGCACAACTGCTACATATGTGGTCTCCACTGAAGTAAAAACTTTTTTTTTTTTTTTTAATTCTGCAATAAGACTTTATTCTGCTCTCCTTTTTTATAAGCAATCTCAGGACCCACCCGCTGTGAAGGGCCTCACCTTAGCCACCAAGGTGCGTAAAACCATGAGCAGCCGAGTGCACGAGGCGGTAAAGGCAATCGCGCTGTGCCACAACGTGACACCGGTGTACGAGTCCAATGGGGTGACGGACCAGGCTGAAGCTGAGAGACACTATGAGGACTCCTGCAGGGTGTACCAGGCCTCCAGTCCTGATGAGGTCAGTATCCATTTGGGTGTATAAAAATACAAATATGACCTTGCTTGTTGCTGAAAAAAATAGTTATTTGGAGCAAGTACTCCAGTCTAGTGAAGGGGATAATATTTTAATGCATTTATTGCACTGATAACCCATGAATAGACTGTAAGTGCCCCCTGAGGTGATATACTCCAGCCAAATCTGTGCCTCTGCCTGAAGCTACAGAGCTACATGGTGACTGGGATCTGGCTGTTGTATCAGCCTCTACATTGCAGTTTTGCTCATGTTTCTGCACCTTTTTCCAGGGTATATTTTGCAGTTCAACACCATGAGTCCAGCTGACCATGTCTGGTAAATTATAGGCAATCTTGCCTTGTTTGGGGGGCAGGGGAAGGATGACTTGTCAGAAGGGGATTAGAGCACTCCCACAATACAGCTTGTCCCTCATCTGCAGAGTGTTCGGACTTCCAGACGAAGTGAAAAGTTGTAAATCACGCTGGGTAGCGCTGGTAACCCAGGACACATCCCTGTCCCCATGCTGACGGGACAGACACGGAGCCCAAATCAATTCTGCAGAGTAACTAAACTGCTGAAGAGTTTGAGCAAAGCTGTGCCCTGCCAGTTCTCTGCCGGCACCCAGCCAGGGCTGCACAGCGTGGCACCGCAGAGAGAAACTTTGCAGCTCTCCAGAGACTCACTGGAGACTTGCACCAAACACTTGAGAGATCAGGTTCAATACAGGATCTAGGATTAAAGTGCTCTTTGCCACCCTCTGCAAAATTTGGAAAATCTAATTAGAGCGTTGTTTCCTTCTGTGACAAAGACGGGAGGAATAAAATATGGTTTCATGTATTGGTTTTGCTTCTTGGATACATCTTCTTTAGTGCAAGCAAGGTAAATTCATTTGTTTTCTATTAATTTGTACAATTACACTTGCTCTATGCCATTGAAAGAGACTGAAGTTTGAAACTTCCCATAAGAGTCCTACTGATGGTATGAGATCGTATCGCCCACTTGACTGCATTCGAAGGGTTCTTCCATTTATTGCCCCAAGTAAAACAAATTTGCCTCTGATAATAACCTTTTCACCTTTGACGTCAAAAGAGAAGCTGGCTTCCCTCATTGTTAGACGTGAGAAAGCGTTTGCAGAGAAATAAATTTATTCGTCAGCCCAGCTATGTGAGGATCTTGAAATGGTTACATGTATTAATAAAAGACTGGCACACAGAGTTAGTTTCCAAATTTCACGTACATTCAGAATTTTCCCTATAGGGTTTTTCTTCCCAAGTAGGCAATTCATTCATTTCATATAACATGTTCTTGTCTGTATTACACAAAAGCTGCATCATTGCCCTTTTCCCCCTCCTCCAGTGCTGTGCCTCCAGTGACAACAAGCGCTTACTCCTCCCTGGCTTTGGGGCTGGGGAGCGCTGTGCCTGTGTGTGTCCTCTCTCCCACCACATAATCTGGGTCGGTGTTTTGCTTACCTGCTTTTCTCTAATGTGTCGCTCTCCCATGTAAGGACAGAAATCAACTGCCTTTGGACTGAAACAAGTTCTGAATGATTTCCAGATGGCAATTTTTGTGATCTGCATTTAAGGCTTTTTTTTCCTAAAGCATTTACTGGCTATTTTTGCCCAAATCCTCTGTTTATTTACATATATACTGTGGTATATAGTGAAGTCGGTGATTTTTCTTTTCCTTTTTTGCTTTATACAGTTCTGTCTTTAAAATATTTATGCAGCAATTTGTCTCAAATACCCAAGAGATTATTGTTTGTTTGTTTTACTGTAGCATGATAACTAATCCTTCCAAGATTATTGTTTAAATTCTTTTTTCCTTTCTTGTGGTGCCTTAAGTAGAGAATTACAGCGGGTTTAGAAATCAGATATGCTTTGCTGCACTGAGGAAATCTTGTCTGTAGGTCTTCGATATACAAATATTGTTTAGACATGCTCTGTGTATGTCATACGAGATGGTACAAAACGCAGGATCAGCACAAGTTGAGTCCTTGAGAAGAGAGCGATGCTGTTAAATAACATTCCCTGTAGGGGAATGGCTTTGGACTCCCGTTAAAGCCAGCCTTTGAAATCCTATATCAATAAAATATTGCCATGGCAGGGAAGGTCAGTTTATGAAATGAGTACAAAAACTTGCATTCTCTTTTCTTTAACAGCAAGAGTAATTTCTACCAGTTGGCACAGGATTCATTTCCTGTAACAGAAAGCAGGATTTCCTAAATTTGTTTCCTGTGCACGCTGCCATTTAGAAGTCTTGAAGTATCTTTATTCAGATATCGATTACAGCCTTGGGGCTCTGCAAGCATGTCAGTTGTAGCCATACAGTAACTAACAGGGGAAATGAAATAGATATAATCTGATCAGAGATAAGAGTGCCTGGGATTCCTGGGCAAACAGTCTTTAACCCTGACAACCCTCTGCAGCTGCCAGGACATGAAAGGGTGCACGGATCAATTGGTTTCTGCCTGTTGTCTGTCTGCCTAGGCAACCCTGAATGGGACGTTTGTAGAGCAACTCATGGCACAGAAGGATCAATTTGTCTCTTTAGAATGAAATTTATTAGTCGATATCCACTTCAGTGGTGGCTCGGGTAATTTAATTGTCGGAAAGAGCAAAGTTTGGGGGATAGTGTGCCGAGCTGCTGTAGCCGCTCTGCTTTGTAATGCTCAGATCCATATCTGACTTGGCCTGGATGGAGCTGCAAACTCCTGGAGTGCGGTCAGGGACATTATTGATTTCCCTTCATGAGTGAGCATGGGCTCTCTTGAAGGTGTTTGAGGGATTTCATGCCTGCTTTTAAATCTCCCCACTTTAAGCTGTAAACATATTTTTGCATCTTGAATGTTTCTTATCTTTTCGCTGTGACTGAGAGCACCTCTAGTTATCTGTTTGCACGGCACAGAGTAAACCTCTTCTGTCTTGCACCGAGCTGGGAACACACTCCCCATCCCGGGGTGCCCAGACCCTACCAGAAGAGCCATTGGCGCTTTTGTTTGCTACTGTCGGTGTTGTCCGCTTGTGCCACTGCACTTCCCAGAGGCCGGGCCCATTGTGTTGCCTGTTGAATGGGGATGGTGATTTCAATGCTTTTAGTACATCTGATAGGAACACTTCAAAATTATATCACTTGCTCTCTCCGTAATTATTCATTAAGTGCTATAGAGGCTGGGAGGGGGTATGGTCAGGCATGGAAAAGGGGGTTTTCTTTCATTATTCTTCCCCTTCCATTGAGGTACCTTTTTGTGCTCTCAGGGCCATGCGAAATGGCTGGCGTGGTGCAGTGCAATGCAGTTAGTCTGAAGCGTGTCACATGCCCAACACAGCACCTCTGACGTCTGCTCATCCTCTGCGCAAGGCTTTTCGTTTGGGAGGTTTAAATCCTTCCTGACATCAGATTTAAATGAGATGCTGGCAGGGAAGGAGGTGGGAGGTGCCTGTGAAAGAAAGTAGCAACGGCGATGCTTCAACCAGCCGAGCTGGGAGCGGAGATTTTTATCTCCAGACATTTGCAGCGTACCAACGTGGGCAAATTAACAGCCAGTGCGGTGCACACTGAACATCACGTAACATCATGCTGTGAAAAATTCTCAATAATTATTTATTAACCAGAGTATTAGAAACACAAGCTCCATCTCTGCTCTGGGAGACTGTTAGGAGGATTATCCAGCTGCATACTTTAATGCACTAAGGATGGATGGCTTGAAGAAACTTTTGAAAAAGATAAGCTTTAAAGAGACTTTGATTTGTTGTAATCTTTGTGAATAAGGTTGCAAAAACTTGCTAATGTTAAAGCAAATATTGATTCAAATTTAAAGGTCTTTCAAGGCAAAGCCAACTCAACTGATTTTTTTAATCTGGTGATTTAAGACTACTTTATGAAAGGAAAAGTTTATTTTCCATAGTCTTCTATGCCTAATTGTGGATGAAAGGAAGCTGAGTTCACAAAAGATTCTCCAGTTAGGCCCAACTGTATCAATTCATCTAGTAAAATCTTGACTCAATGCAAGTATTTATAGAGTCCATTTTTATCTGTATCTCAGGTAAGTGATTTCCCAAAATAAATTCCATTTTTGTCTAAGGTATTTGTGGTCACTTAAGGCAGTAAAGGCAGAACCTGAAAGTCACAAGGAATAATTAACCTTCATGTCAGCAGCAACCATGTGCCCAGCACTCTCATGCCTTTGAAAATGCCACTGCAAAATACTTCCAGTATTTCGTGTCGGTTTGGAGAAAGTCTCCCTTGATCCTTTCTGGAGGCTGGTGATATATGGGCTCGTGTCAGCTGCTGCTCCCATCCGTTACTGCCAAGACAGCTTCTAGAGTTAAACCCCCATATCTCAGCAGGCTCGGTCTGAGATGGATGTGTCAGCTGAGGTGGGGATTCTGGGGCAAAGCATCAGGAAAGCAAAATAAAGGCTTTGGTTTCCGTCATGACTCTGCTTGTAATCTAGTGAAAGCTGGTAAAGAATTCAGTGTTGTAGGTCTTTAAATATTAGAAGCTGCAAATCAGACTGATACCCACATAAGTTCAATTAAACGAGTTCTGCTGTGTGCCTTGAAAAATCTGGGGTTAGTTTGGGGTTTTTTGGTTTGCTTGGTTGGTTGGGTTTTTTTTAATGTTTGGGAGAAGGGGTTTTCTGCTAAGAAGTGTCTATGAGCCAGCCTTCAGCTGTCTTGCTGATCAGTAGAGAGGTTGAAAGCTGTTGATGAATTGTTACACCCAAACAGATAGAGTGTAACACAGAGCTCATTTTGTTTGCTTGCTTTTAAAATATGAATTTTTAATGTGCTCTGCATTAGAGTTTCTGGCTTTGATATTGTAAATCCAGGGTGAACGCCTTGTTTTGAATTCCTGATTTCATAAACAGCAAGCTGGGAAATAGCACATTCAAAAAGTCAGTGTTTGTAAAGAGATTTACCTGACGTGCCCAAGCAGAGGTTTTGGCAGTCCAGGCCTGCGTTGGGGTACTTGTGCCTGCCCTTGCTGAAGGGTTGTCCTTCAGGATGTGGTCTGGACAGCCTGGCAGCCAAATCAGGCAGGAGCTGGGCTGTCCAAACTCTGAAAATACTGTTAGTAAGCATCTAACTTCAGGAAAAGCCCATGAGAAAGAGCCATATAGGAGCACCTGCATATATGAATGGAGCCACTCTATAGAACCATTGATGAGCAATGAACTTCGTTGCAGCCCCTACCCGCTGTCCCCTTAGGGGAGGTGTGGTGTGGGCTGGTCACCCTCACCATGACTTTCTCCTCTCAGGTGGCCCTGGTACAGTGGACCGAGAGCGTGGGTTTAACGCTGGTGGGCAGAGACCAGTCCTCCATGCAGCTGAGGACACCGGGTGGCCACATCCTGAACTTCACCATCCTCCAGATCTTCCCCTTCACTTACGAGAGCAAGCGCATGGGGATCATTGTTCGGGTAAGTGGCTTCGAGGAAGCAGCTCTCATGTCTTTGTGAATCTCCTGCTAATGCAATGTGAAATGTATAAAACATTTGCTCTCAGCTGTGCTGTTGTTCCTGGCTGAGTTTTGCAGTCTCTCCTACCTCAGGCTATAGGCTGCTTCTCAGTTTCAAGCTAATAGCATCTCATTTCTGGCTTTGTTTAGTGATACATCCTTTTCCTTGGCCATATGTGGCAGTAAGTGCTGTAGTGCCATGAGACATCTTTAGTTTATTGATCTTTGGTCCCTTGTTCAAAATAACAAGGAGCCTAAGCTTCCAGCTTCCTCCAGCTGCTCCTTCCCACTCACATTTTTAATCCGTCATGTACTCTGGGGTGGGTTTCAGCTGTCCAGCTTCTCTGCCTGCACACATCAGCTTCTGCAGGGCAGCTCTGGGGACCGGTGTCCGGCCAGTCCGTCAGCCAGCACTGCCACCAACCATGAAAGCGTGACTTCGGCAGCACAGTGGAGCCTCCGGGATGGTGCTGGGAAGGAAGAGAGAGCTCAAGCATTTCCCTCTGACTTGGGGATGCTGGAAAATGCTGGGAGAGGATTTTTGCTACAAGTGCAAGGTGGAAGGAGACATAGGAGGGCCTGGTGGGGCAGAAGGGCTAAAATCTGAATGTTTTGGCTGTGTGCTGAACAGCTGTGATCGTCAGCAGAGATGCCATGTTATCCCTCAGGCAAGGCTGCTGTTTCAGGAAAGCTTAAAGCCACCACTGCCAGCAAAAGAAATAGTCACAGTTACGCTGTCTCCTGGGACTGGAATTCTGTGTCTCCTCCCACAGGGGCTGACACAGTGAGGAGGAAGAGGAGCCCGGTAGGGACAGGACTGCTCTCTCCAGGGGAGCAGGCATCAGCAGCGTCTCAGGGAAGCTCGAGCTGACTTTGAACCCTTGCTCAGTGTCCCTGGGGTTGTCTTTTCATCTGTCCAAAAGCTCCTGCCCTTCCTGTCGTGTCCATGCCGTAGTCATGCTGGCAGAGCTGGGCAGGCTGTACAGTGGCTGTGAGGTGACCCAGGACACAAGTGCTTTTCTCCCCATGGGGTCAGCCAGGAGCAGGAATCCGGGTGGGTTCATGGGACGAGCTTACACTGCATCTCCAAAGCAGTTGTGGTGGTACAGCAGGAGGTGATGGAGATGGCAGCAAGTGGGAACAGGGAGGGAGGGGGTCCTGGACCGATGCCGCAAAACTTTACAATCCTGTTAGAGGTATTGTGGAAGTGCTCCCCAGATCTCTGCCAGGCATTGAAACTCCTGTTAGACCCTGTAGAAATACAACTTGTAACTGCGAGGAACTGTGATTTTTTTTTTTTTTTTTTTTTTTTTTTTGACTGTTTAACAGAGTCCACAGCCATGCTGAGAACACGCTGTCATGAGCAGGGTTTGAAAACAGCTGATTTAAGGTAAAAGGGTGCATTTGTGCAAATACCTTTATCAGCAGCAGCAGGCACTGTGCACGCTAAATACGTGCCCAGCTGAAACTGTACGTGTAACTTTGTGGCTTTATGTACAAATACAATGTAAGATTGGGCTCTCAGAAAAAAATCACCTTAAAAAGAAAGAAGGAGAAGAGAGTGTGGGTGTTTAAAACCAGTTGAGATTGGTTGTCACCATTATCATCATTAGTTTTCAAGATAGTGCTAGAGAATCAGTGTTGGTAAGGTACACAGAGCCAGCCGCGGTAAGCCACTTCCATTGGCCTGCGAAGCCAACGAATGAAGCAGTTTGAATATTTCTTCTGGAGGCAATTAAAACATCCTTGTTATTTTTTACTGAGAGTACAGGCAGATAATTGGTACCAGGAATCTAAAAGATGAATATGAAACCTATAATCCAGGGCAAGATATGATTTGTTGTGTCATTGCATGGGATCTTCAGCTTTGTTAGTTAGGGTGGGGAGAACAGGTAAAAGTGGTGGTGGTTTTTTTTTTTTTTCCTTTTTTCTTCTTTTTCCCCCTCCATTTACTTTGTGGTGAAACTGGGTTGCTACATGTTTATTTTAGGGTATCTGGAAATAGGGTGTAAAAATATCTTCGGCCTCATGTATTTTAAGTTACAACAGTAGGAGTAGCTGCCCTTTTTTTTTAGTTAGAAGTAGTCGGGATCAGTATTGCACACGTGGGCCTCATCGGCAGCAGATTAATTTGATCTGCTTTATTGGCTGGTGTTTGGTAGCTTCACAAATCTCAGCTTCTCAGGACCCATGGAAGAGCACAGCCCCTATCAGAAATGGAACAGGGAAGGGATGATGCAAAATGGAGCAACGCAGTGGTTGTATTCAACAACAACAAATGTTACGGAGAACGTCAGTATTCCTGTTACCAAAAGATTTGGTGATAAAGATGGAACTGTAATATATGCATATAATTATTGTCGCAAACCTGTGAAGGAGAAGCTGTGTTTAGTGCAGATTGAAAATCATTAAAGCTCATACAAATGGCTGTATTTGTGTTATCCTACCTGAGTATTTTGGACCTGGATCTCCTGTTGCTCAAGGAACTGCTTTGAAGTTCTGGATCACACGCCACAGTATGGTTTAGAGGGGACAAATTTGTATTTCAAGTTGTTCCAGGCTTTGGAATATTAAAACATGCCCAAGGGCAGGAATGTTGGTTGAAGTGGGCTGATAGGCTGAGCTTGTACAAAGTAATCAGTGTGTTAAATCTGTGAATCTGGAGATCCAACTCAATGCGTTTGAACATGCACAGTCGCCAGTGTTCCCACGAAATGTCTCCTGCTCTGTGGGATAGCTGTAACAAGTGTAGTGCATATCTTTAAATACAGCTAGTGTAAATTCTTCAGCTTAATTATTTTTATAGTGAAAATGATGTGGAGACTTCAGGCAACCCTTTCAAGACCTAGTATAAAAATATTAGCAATAAAAGAGGGAGGACTAAACAACCTCCCTCGTGATTGCTTACTGTGAGTGCAAATTTTTGATGAGGTGCTGTTTTACCCAAGGTGTAAGAAGTGGGCTAACCATAGAAGCCAGGGTATGCTTCATTAAATTGTGTTTATATGCTCAGCAGAGAAGTGGATGTCCTTAAATTTTCTCATCTAGGTTGAAATGAGTCCTCTTGCCCCCCGCTGCTTTGATTTGAGACTTATTCCTTATACATAACCTATGATCAATACGCTGCGCTTTTAGTAAGAGAAAGGTTTCTTATTTTACATTTCTGTATTTAAAATATTACTGCTGCCCAAACCAGCAAAACTCCCACTTGTGGTCAGTGGGAGCAAGCTCAGGCCCAGATCCCGACTGTAAATACTGTTAATGGAAGCGCTGGCCCCTCTCTGTTGTGCTTGTTAATGGAGTGTCTTGATTTTGCAGCCACGGAAATCAGCTCCCTGTATGCCCTGTGCAGAAGCAGGTTTTGAGTAACGGGTGCTGGCTGCCTGGGTATTAACTTTGGCATGTTCCTGTATACTCCAAAATAATATATTCAAGCAGGGTTTTCATTTTCATTAAAAAAGAAAAAAAGAAGACTTTATAAATAGGTAGTTGTCAAGTAAAATTTTCTTTTATTAAACCTACACGTATGCATGTGTAGGCACTCCGTTTGGTTTTGATTCACAGCTTGCAAGGTGTTTACCTCTTCAGTTTGCCTTCTAAAACTGTGCTGCTTGCTTAAAAAGCAGAACTAAGGGGAGGGAAAGTAGTATGAAGTATCCAGAAGACAACAGATGCAGTGAGCAGCCGGGGAGGGGAGGGAGAAGCTGCAGAATAAAACTGCACTCAGGGTTGTAGTGAGTCGAATTCAAATGGTAACGTTCTCTGCTCAACTATACAGATATTGCCCATTCTTACAAAGTGCAATTTTTTCGGCTGGCGGGAGCCATCGCCATCGTCTTGCCAGGCTTCCTGTACAGTCCGGGTTTAGAGTTTCAGCAAGTGATTCATGTGTCCAGCCCAGTAATGCTGTTACTGAAATCCTTGGCAGAGGCAGCCGCCTCCCCTGCTGGCCCTGTCCTCTCTGGCTCCTATAAAAAGATCTCCTTCAACACATAACTTTCAGTAAATAAAGTAGTAGTCAATATTGAAAACAAGCAGCAGATGTTGCCCCGTTTGGGATATTTTTGCAATATCTGCTTGTTTACTTGTGATCAACTGTCATTTCTGTAGCTGATTATTTCAATTCTAAGAAGTCTTGCTCTACCAAAGCAGCCGCTCGTCACCGTGCTGTTTACTGACTTTTCTTCTTCTTGAAAGAAGACCTGTTTGTTTGACCACAATATTTTCCATTCTTCTCTTTCTTTGCGTTATTTTTCCCCTTACCCGTGTGGAATGATCTTTGTTGTAAAGCAAAGATAGTGCTATTGTCATATCTGGAATTGAAAGAAGCCTTTGAACCGTGGCCAGAGTCAGACCACGGTGGAAAAAGATGCCTCTCCAAAACAATATAACTGGCAAATCTCTGTGTAGATTTATAGTGTGATCTTACCATAATATGAGAACGCACTAACCTCCTACTGAACTCGGTGAGAGGAAATGACTAATGCAAGGAGATAGCTGATACAGTATTTATATTGGACAAAAAATCTAAACTATCTTAAGCCAGTTCTGCAGCACGGGAAGTGGAGTCTTTATTCAGTTTCCTACAGAGATGTTGTTAGACACTTTTTAATCAAATAATTTAATAGATAAACCTTTACCTTTGGCTACTGCCAGAAGCATTGTGTTTTATTTAAGCAGATTCTAGTTGTTTCGGTAGAGTGACACATTTTGCTTTGGGCGTGTGGGATGTGTGGGTAACGGCATATGAAGGCTGGATGTTTCAGGACATTGAAAACCATGCTGAAGATTAATTATAAGAATCTTCCTTGTGAATATCTCTATGAGCTTGGCAAAAATGCTTAGTAAAGGAGCTTCGTTATCCTTGGCTGCTTCTTAATTTCCCTAGCAAAGACACTTACTTCTCTTCTTTGCATTTTTAGTATCTATATCAGGTGCTGGATTTTTGGTTTTTTTGTTTTTTTTTTAAATTCCACTTTTTTTTGTAAATTCAGTTTTGCCAGTGCCACAGGACATTAGGCTTTTTCCAACTGACCCAAACTCTTCATGTGTGAGAGACTTCACCACTAGGTTCTGTAATGGTGGGACAGACTGACACGTATATTAAATAGCATTAGAGTGAAAAAGTGTCCACTGTGCTTTTCTTTGATTTCTTTTTTTTCCTAAAGTATTTTTCCCCTTTCGTTCACAGCTGTCTATTTCCAGACCTTCCTGGGCTTTTTGGTTTTGCATGTTAAGTTTATTTTCTTCCTATCCCTGGTGGCTATCTTGGTTTACAGAGCAGTTTGTTCCTTACTCATTGTTTTGTCTCCTTTGAGGAAATTGCCAGGGTTTCCATTAGCTTGTAATACTAATAGCTGTGACCTCCTTAGGTATCTGCCTGCTTAGAAGGGATTTTTTAATTTGTGGTAATGTAAATATGCTTTGCTTGCAGCCTACAAATTGCTTGGATCAGATAAGGCAGGCAGCAATCTAACCTTTCTGTGGCAAGCATGAACTTTAATTATGCTTATGCCATATCATGCAATAGAGGGGGTAAATTGGGGTGATTTTTACTCTGTTAAGCTTCATGTATCTATTTTATTGTTTCAGGTAAGTATGAAATAAATTTTCAGGGTGAGGGCTAAAAGTTATTTCAAAGGCACAAGCAGTCAGGGTTGTGTCAACATGGAAATCTCATGTTGCTGCTTAAAAAGCTGATCATCCTTGTCTAAAGCATTAGTTCCTGCTGCAAGTAACCAAGTTGCAATTGTCTCCAGGCCAAAAGGAGATGCCTGTTCAAGATGCTGAGCCAGATGGACCTTCAGCCTGACACAGTGCAGACATGTTTGTGATTGATGTGCAGAAAAATCATCACTTAGCTTGCTGAGGCCACTCCAGATATGCTGACATTGGCCCAACTGAGACTCTTCTGTTTCTTATCTGCAGGATGAATCAACAGGAGAGATCACCTTCTACATGAAGGGGGCTGATGTGGTGATGGCCGGGATCGTGCAGTACAATGACTGGTTGGAAGAAGAGGTATGGGGCCGTCGGTCCTACACGGGGAGGGTTTCTCATGCCAATGATTTTCTCCTTCCAGGGCAATGCATGACACACCTTGTCAGTGTGGCCAAGTGGACAACATCTGAGAGCCAGGAGGTCACTGATCATGGCAATTCCTTGGATTAGTCTTCAGCAAACACATATGCAGCAACAAGGAAGTCAGGTGGCAAGTTCAACATGTTTAGTGCAGAATCAGTCCTGTAAATAAAATGGCTTTTGCTCATTGCTACTCAACATCCCCAAATTTGTTCTGGGCTTGATCCCGTGTTTGGATTTATTTTAGACTGAAAGGTCTAATTTCAAAGCTACATTTGGCAGCTTTGTACTGGGCTATGTTTGTCAGGTTAGTAGTAATGTTGACACAGAGTTCATAGCAGTAGCTTCAGCTGCTGATTCTCCCCACCCCCAAACCCTGGTGTTCAAAGAAATAATAATACCTTGGTCTTATTTTAAAGAGTTTATGGCCAAAGATGTGAAATCTACAAATCAAAGGCTTGTGTCCTTTTACTTAGAGGCAGAGAAAATTAAATCAATGGGGTTGTTTTTGCCACACTGGTACAGCAGAGAGGACATTTCTGTTTCTGATCACTGGGATAGATTACAAACCATTGCAGATCTCCTTTTTTCCTCCCGGGTTTATCATGCACTTTATCAGATGTTATAGACTCACTAGGGTTGCTCAAATGGGACGGTTATTTTCTTAACCTGTTATCTTACATTGCCATCTCTGCAATGCTGTGCATAAATCATCTTACTTGAGATGCAGTTTATGGTTTACAATGTGATACTTCTTTCCAGTGTGGTAACATGGCTCGGGAAGGCCTGAGGGTTCTAGTCGTAGCCAAGAAGTCTCTGACGGAAGAGCAGTATCAAGACTTTGAAGTAAGTTTTTATTTGCTTTTTTTTTTCCTCTTTGTTTTTAAACAAACAATCACTGAAGTGATTCTCACAGACCTCTCGTGATAACGCCGCCTCTCATCTCCCTACTCCTTCTGCTAGAATTGTCATTCTTCAATGTCTTGCTGTTCTTTTAATCAAAGTGGCTTTTTAAATGAAATGTATGAAACTGGATCGCAGCCAGGACACTCCAAAACAGTTCCTGAATCCTGCTTTACAATCTTTTGCCGTTATAAATTCTGCAAATATTCATCATTTGTTAGACAAGTCGTGTTTGTGTGAGGAAATGTGTTGGCTTTTAATTTTCCATGTTGCATTCTGACATCCAAGGAAACTACAAACAAACTACAAACCCAGCCGGGCTTCGTGGAAACCCCAGCCTCAGGCGTGGGGTTTGTTCGATGGATCTCTACACACAGCACTGACTTGCTTTCCCCAGGCAGGCAAAACGTGACGGAGAACTGTTCCGTTAAATGCAGAGATGAGATGGTGGAAATGTTCAGGATTCTCTCTTGCCTCCGTTTGCTCATCGCAGAAGCCGTGGTTGGACCTGTGGCACGAGGGTGTCGCTCCCAGGCTTTCTGCAGGTGTCACGTCAGCAGCGGCCGTGCGCTTGTGTGCTCAAGGACACGGCGTGCACCGAGCTGCCTGGCTGGCGCAGGGCAGGAGCAAAATAACAAAAACTTTCTGAAATATTTTCCCCCTTATTCTGTAACACGCACACCTCGTGTTCGCCAAGCTGTTACAGGAGGCATCCCTGAATGAGATAGTTAACAGATTGAGATTAACGGGTTAACCCTCATGCTGGTTAAGCCCGTGTTCCACAAAAATTCAGGCTGGCTGTGTGAGTGACTGTTGCTGTGTCTGCTCTGTCCTCAGGCACGCTACGTCCAGGCGAAGCTGAGCGTGCACGACCGCTCCCTGAAGGTAGCCACAGTCATTGAGAGCCTGGAAATGGAGATGGAGCTGCTGTGTCTCACTGGCGTGGAGGATCAGCTGCAGACGGACGTCAGACCCACCTTGGAGACGCTGAGAAATGCTGGCATTAAGGTCTGCCTAACCCAATGTTACCTAGCAGGAGCACCTAGACCCTCTGGACTCTGTGGCACTGGCCTACAGACCGTAAATTGGGACAGACTGGGGGCCTTGTCAGGGTCAACGTTTCACCGGGTGCCCTTTGCGTGTGGGAACAGTGGGGCTGGACAACACATTTTAAACATCACTTTGGGAACAGAACATGCTGGAAGCAGTAAATGTTAACTAAACAACAGGAAAGCAAGTCACTTTTTGTGCTTTTCTTCCCCTAAAATGCTCTGGCTCCTTCTGCGCAGAGAAGCTGAGTGCATAGGCAGGAGGGGGCTACAGGAGGCTTTTGGGCAGTTGTTTCTTTCAGATGATTGCATGAAACAAGGCCAGTTTGGATGCTCTCTGGTGTACAGTCCCATGCTGGGGTTGAAGCACTGGGCTGTGAATATACATGTTTTCAGTAGCCACTAGAGGGGGTCTGAGCCAAGAGAATCAGGGACTGGCCATATTTCCCCCACCCCCCCAGTTTTCTGGGCTCTGGCATCTGAGACTCAGCCACCTACAGCATGAGCTGTGCTCAGCGATGAGGGAAGCAGCGTGATTCCTGCTTAGTTTCTCGCTCTGAAAATTTGTCAGTCAGATCCTGGACTTGGAAAAGGGAAAAAAAATGGACTAAATGTTCAGATTTGGGCAAGAAAATTAGGTAAAAGGTTCTGGTTGTAGTTTCTCTGCTTTAAGTAACAAAGTGAGCAAAAATCTTGAGCCCTGCTGCAAATCCAAAGCAGGGCTGTGTGTTTGGGATTTAGGTGTGAAGTGGAATTCAAGGCTTGGGACAGGCTTTCAAAAGTGCTTTCTGTTTGGAGCCATCCCTGTGAGCGACAGGGGCTTCAGCAGGGAAGTGAGATGAGCCGAATTGGGCAAAGCCCCTTAGCCGCACCGTGGCTTTCTCCCCCAGCCGCCTAGTCCAGGCCAGTTATTCCGAAGCAGTTTCATTTTTTTTCCTTCACCTTGGCTGGAGTCGGTGTCGGGGCGTGGAGCGTGTCGCTGCGCAGCGAGCACAGCACTGCTGAGCACTCCTTGCAATGGTATGTTCGTTAGGGTATTGCATGCGAGAAGTAAATCAAGAGTGAAGGCAGACTTGTAATTCATTACAGGGACCATCTTGTTAAGATCAAATCTTTTTCCAACCTCAGATTATTAAACAAATAAGTGAGTCTTTGTGTGTTTTTTGAGTTTTGGGTTTTTTTGTTTTGTGTGGGGTTTTGGGTTTTTTTGTGTGGTTTTTTTTTTTTTTTTAAGTTTTGTTAAATATTCTTGGGTGGTGTCTTGAAAGAATAAAAACACCAGTGGAAAAAACAAAATAAACTCTGATATATTTACACTGTTGAGGGAATTCCCTGCCAGATTATAACAGGGTATTGCTGCTGAGTATTGCTGCTGACACTGCTTTCTAGTGCCCCCCCTCACCAGCAGAAAATAAAAGGAGCAGTGTATATTTAAAAAGAAAAAAAAAAAAATCTAAAAAAAAAACAAAACAAAAAACCCCAACCAACTTAGTCTGTTCCAGACGCACACATCAGCAGTGAGCTAACCCCAGTTGCATCATCCACATTTCAGGCAGGGCCATGAGGGATCTTTCTGCAGCAAGGCCCGCTTATTTCAGCGTACAAGAAATAGCTGGGGTGGGACACATTACACACGCATACACATTCTTCAGCTTGCATTTTGTGGGTTTATCAGCAGAATCTTGAAATATTGCAGGTGGGAAAAATGTCAGACGTGGTTTGTAACTTTTGCATTTCAGCCTCTTTAAAAGTTTTGCTTGCTTTCATCTGTGAGAATTTTCTTTTATGTTTTAAAATAGGGCTTTTTTAGAGAAATAATTTGATTATATATTCTAACAGTCCTTTTATGTGCCTGAACTGGCAGGTGGTACTTCTACGTCCTGCAGATGTGGTTGTTAAGTTTCGTATTTAATACATTAAATATTTGGATTTTAGGTGTGGATGCTGACAGGGGATAAGTTAGAGACAGCCACGTGTACAGCCAAGAACGCACATTTGGTGACACGGACACAGGACATCCACATATTCAGACTAGTGAGTAACACCCACCTTCCCCTCTCTCAAGACTTGTTTGGGACCCCACATTCAGGAACAGGAGGGGTGCTGAGATCACAACTGTTTTCCAGCAGTAGACCCAGAATATTTTTATTCTTTTGACCCAGCTTTCTGTCCCCTGAGCTTTTGTTTATCCGACTGTGTGCTCTGAATAACTCCATGTGCTGCCTGTCCGTATGACTTTTGTTCCCTCTGAGACTTCACTGCTTGTTTTTTCACCCCAGTGAAGCAAACCCTTCCTCAGTTGTCATCATTTTCCCCAGGTGACTAACCGTGGAGAAGCCCATCTAGAGCTGAATGCCTTCCGCCGGAAACACGACTGCGCTCTTGTTATTTCTGGCGACTCGCTGGAGGTAGGCTCCAAATGCCTCAGGCTGGTCAGGAACAGCCCCAAAACACTGTGGCTCAATTAGGATTTTTTTTTTTTTAAAAAAAAACTTTCATAGCACAAATTTTGGTGACGCTTCTGATCTCTGTAAATTAGGTGTGTTTGAAATACTATGAGTATGAGTTCATGGAGCTGGCTTGCCAGTGCCCTGCTGTCGTGTGCTGCAGATGTGCTCCGACGCAGAAGGCCCAGATCGTGCGATTGCTCCAGGAGAGGACTGGCAAACTCACCTGTGCAGTAGGTAAGGGACTAGTTAGGGAGGAGTGACCACGTAGGATGGTGTCTTTATGTTTTCTTCTTTTGAGTGAACGGTCCCGAGTCATCTCATAATACCTGGAAATGCTGAGTTAGGGAACAGTGGTTTTGTGGGGTGATTGATAAGACAAAATTTTGCATATGGAAACTTCAATGATAGACTACTCCTAAGCATTTGGGGTGGTATCTTTGCAAACCAGAGCTTGAACAGGATCAGATAAAGTGCCATTGTTGACCTGTGAGCTTTATTTCAGTGTTGTAGTATAATGGTACACCTATAAATCAGATCAAGTGATCAGCAGCCTTGAATTCCTGTGCATCTATAAAAAAAACTATAAAAAAGACTATAAAAAGAATTTAAATTCCCATTTTCTACTTAAAATCCTGCTTTTGTTGATAGGGTTCAACGTTTCTTCTAGCATTACAGCTTGGCGCAGGTGCCTTTGGTGGGATCACAAGTTGCTTGTGTTGCTTAACTACCAATGTCATTTGTGCTCTGACCTGCAGGTGATGGAGGGAATGATGTTAGCATGATTCAGGAGGCTGACTGTGGTGTTGGAGTTGAAGGGAAGGTGAGATTACCTCATGTTTAATAAAGACTCACTATGGCAATTCAGAAGCTAGTTTGCAACTAACTCTTAAATGAATCCTCAGAAACTTGTGCAAGAAAGTGAGAAGCTTCCACAAGAATAATCATTAGACCAGTAGCCTTATCATGAAAAATAATTTGGCTGGAAAGGAGACTACTGTTTAACAGAGTTCAAGGTCATTATTTGGTTCATGGCAGATTCCCTGAATTTGGACCATCGTGGTTAGTTTTGGGGTTTTTAATCACGCATAGATGCTCCAGATGCTGGAGTTGTAATTACTCTGATAACATATACACCCTGCACGTACAACTGAAAACTGGTTATATTGGTTTAGAAAGCAAACGTGGGGTTAGAGCGCTGGTTCCTGCATATGGAGCTGCTTGGAGTGACAGGACTGGATTTGGCGGCAGTGGAAAGACTCTGCTTGCAGTGAGCCAAAACCTTAAAACTGAGTGAACTTTTGAGACTGAAAATTTGTGTTCAAAACTGACTTGATACGAGTGTCACGTTAACATGTGTGTTGTGAATCATAATCCAGAGGGTTGCTTAAAATTGGAGGCCAGGGTTCAAATGGGAATTCTCTTCATATTTTTGCTCTTTGCTTAAAAGCCACGGTGGAAGGCAAAAGTGCTGAGGTAATACTCTCCCCCACCTAATGTATTGCAAATTTTCTTGGAAATTCTGTCCGTGATAACTAAATAATAATACGGTATTTCTTTGTTTCCAATAACGAAATGATCTCACTATGCTTTTACTTGCTGTTGCACACAGGAAGGAAAACAGGCATCACTTGCAGCCGATTTCTCTATCACTCAGTTTAAACATCTGGGTCGTTTACTAATGGTGCACGGAAGGAACAGTTACAAACGGTCTGCAGCTCTCAGCCAGTTTGTAATCCACAGGAGCTTGTGCATCAGTACAATGCAGGTAAATGGACTGTCATGAGGGCTTTTCCAATGGAGAGGTGAAAAAGCAAAATCAGAAAGTAAAGGTTCTCCATTTCATTTTGGATCCAACTATTTCTTCTCCTGGAAAATTTCTTGGGTTGGAACTTGAGGTTGTTACTTGGGTATGAAAACACATAAGAAAGTTCTTGGTATTGGACAAACATCAGCAACTTCTCCAAAATTGGCCAAACAATATTCTACCTTAGAAAACACTGCTGTGATGTAGCATGTCTTTGCTGTCATTTATGCTAGGAAATGTCATTTATGTTTTTATCTCATTTAGTAACGCTAGGAAATACTGAAATTCTGAAGCAGAGCACTGCTCTTAAGGAAGGTCTCTGCTGTGTAAGTGCACTTCTTTTCAGATGTGTTTTAAGTAAGGCCTTCAAACAGTGAGACCAAAGTTAAGGAACTGAGGAGGGCCTGTCTGAGACCCTGACGAGGTTACCAAAGGCCTGGTCTGGCATGCTGAGGAGTGTTTGCAGGAGCCGTGCTGTAAAGGCTGCCGAAACATGTGTTAACCGTCCCAAGTGCTCGGCAGCTTGCTGCAGCAACGTGGAGGCGGTCTGGTTGTCCCCATTCAAAGGCAACCTTAGAAACAGATTTGGTATTCACAAAATTTACAAAAATTGCCAGTTGGCAGGGAGAGTTCAAAGAGATTTTAAGAGCTCATGAGCCAAATTCTGTTCTTAGCTGTGGTGACTTGAGTGAAAGTTAAGGACAGAGGTTACTCTTTGGGAGTTGCATTTCCACACCACGATGTGCTGATATATTTCTTAAAAATACTAAGGTTTTTTTTAAGTAAAATACTTGATATTTTTGAGAAGGTTTGTTCTGCCCTCTCCCCTTCTTAGAATAAACACGTTGGAGAGGGATGCATAGAGACAAAAGCTTCAAACTCAGGGGACAGTCTAGCCTACTCTGCAGCTAAAGAACAGAAAACAAACCTATAACTTCTGACAAAAAAAAAAAAAAAAAAAGAAAAATTAATCTTGAACTCTTTGGAGTTTGTATTAGTGAGTGTTAACTCTTTATGTTGTGAAGGCATCATCCAGGCATAAATAAGTACACACCTGTCCTTCACAACATCTGGATGGCTTTGATCAAACCAGTGGGCTTTGGAGGAAACTCTTTATGCTCTTTTCTGTGGAACTACATTACAAAAAGTTTTCCAAGTCCAGCTCTCCAGTGTTTGCTATTTAAACATAGCTTTCATCCAAGGTTTGCGTAGGAATAAAAAGGGTTGATATTACATTCTTCTGTCTTCATTTCAGGAATTTAGAGAACCCACTGCAAGTACGTTCCGGTTTGAACGGAGTATATTTTTAAGCTGTTGCTTTTACTGCAGCAACTAATGCCTGAAAAGCTTATTTCTTTTCTTTTCTAGGCTGTTTTCTCATCAGTGTTTTACTTTGCTTCAGTTCCTCTCTACCAAGGCTTTCTCATCATTGGGTAAGAGCTAACTTTTTAATAATAGTGTGGAAAACCTGCGCATAATGAATAGATTTGGGCTAATTAGCATGCAAGGCATGCACATCTCCACTCTGCATGTTTCACAACACTGCTTCAGAAGATGGACGTGATCCTTGTATCCTTTCTGCTCCTCTGCGCTGAGCAAAGCCACCGAAGCAGCACGAGTACGTCTAGAAGCCTTTCCAAAAGGACAGTTTGTCACATACAGAACATGAGAAGCAAGCCATCCTCCAGGAAGCAGAATCCTTTGATCCTAGCAAAAAGCAGAGGGACAGTCATGTTCTGGTGCCTGCGCAGCAGCCAGAGCCAGCGCCCAGCTCCTGACAGTGTCAGAAAGGGGGGACAACCCAACTTCTTTAACAGCAGGACTCAGTTCCTGTCTAAAATATACTGGGATTACACTTGTAATCCCATGACTTTATAGACTTCCGAGTACAAAACTAAAAAACAAAGAGCAAATCCATTTCCATTGCCTTTTGATGCAGACAGGATCAAGCCTGGACTGCAGAGCAAACTGGGATGGGGACAGTTCTGTCCCTGGCTCCATTAATAACCCTATAACACCCACTGAAATACTTGAACCAATCATCTGTGTATGAGTGTTTCTAATCAAAAACCATTCAAAAAGCAAATCTTGAAGGTTTTTCCTGCATGCAAAACTCTGGTGTGTTCCATTTGCAAGTTTTTGTAATACACACTGGGACCGCTGCTGAATGAAATGGGTGCCCTGGTGACAGAAGATACAGAGAAGGTGGAGCTACTGAATGCCTTCTTTGCTTCAGTCTTCACTGTCGAGGCTGGCCCTCAGGCTCCCCAGTCCTGGCAGGTAAGCGAGCAAGCTTGGAGAAAGGACAACCTTCCCTCTGTCGATGTGGGTCAGGTTAGGGATCTTTTAAGGAAGCTGGACACCCACAAGTCCATGGGCCCCGATGGAATGCACCCACGAGTGCTGAAGGAACTGGCAGATGACATTGCTGAGCCACTCTCCATCATCTATGAAAGGTCATGGAGAACAGGAGAGGTGCCTGATGACTGGAAGATAGCCAATGTCACTCCAGTCTTCAAAAAGGGCAAGAAGGAGGACCCAGGGAACTACAGGCCGGTTAGTCTCACCTCTGTCCCTGGAAAGGTGATGGAACAACTCATTCTAAGTGACCTCTCCAAGCAAGTGGACGACAAAAAGATCATCAGGAGTACCCAGCACGGATTCACCAAGGGGAAATCATGCCTGACCAATCTGATAGCCTTCTATGATGGCATGACCGGCTGGGTAGAAGAGGGGAGAGTGGTCGATATTGCCTACCTTGACTTCAGCAAAGCTTTTGACACTGTCTCCCATAACACCCTCATAGGGAAGCTCAAGAAGTATGGGTTGGATGAGTGGACAGTGAGGTGGATTGGGAACTGGCTGAATGGCAGGGCTCAGAGGGTTCTGATCGGTGGGGCAGAGTCCAGATGGATGCCGGTAGCTAGTGGAGTTCCCCAGGGCTC